CTCCCACCACGCTGGCCCAATGCGGGTTGGTGGGGAGCGCCAGAGCCTCGTTGGTTAGTCGGCAGGGTGTACCGCGTGCAGGTGAGGTTGGCTTGGGATCCGTTAGATGTTGTTCGGACCCCCTTACACCCCTTTGGAACTCGTACTCGTAAATAACACGATATTTCAAGTTTTCTATTTTTTATACCGGGTGACGTAAATAAGATAAACAGAAGAAAATAAAAACAAATGAATGCCGCCTAACGAAACACAAATACATGTGTAAATGGCTGTATAAATTTGAATTTGGAATTCCCAACCAAGGAGGTGAAATTAGTGATTAAATTGGCCAGTAAGACAAAACGCTAATTTCATATGTAAGGACCTAATATAAGCTGCACTCTCGATTCAATGAAAATGGAAGCTGATGCAGCAATGACCTAACAATATTTTGGCTGAAACTTCTAAAGAGAGATATTTTAACTTATAAAATGTTTAATTTTTGTAATTCCGGTTTTTTTTTACTTACCTCACAATCGAGATGTAAAGCAGAGTAGTTAGCTCGGGTGTAAGCATGATGCCTTAGAGCCCTTGGCTATTAATACACTATTATTATATTTGTCATTCAATGGGTTCTAAATTGATACCCCATAATCCTACTGTGGCCTTATAAGGGATTTGAACAGGTATATAGAGGTAAGGGGGTTTTTAAATTCAGTGGTGGCACGCACAACAAAACCATACATCTTGAAGGCTTTTGCAATGATGTTTTGTATATGAATATCAAAATGCAATTTACTGTCGCAAGTGACCCCACGATGCCGAATAACGCTGACTCTGTGGATCTATATTACTTATAAATAATATAAGTATTATTTATTAGTATCTTTTTTTTTTGTGAAATTTATCATTTTACATTTGTTTATATTGAGTTGAAGTTTATTAATTTGAGATCTTTTGATTCATCAATTTTTCGGTATATTTTAAGATCATCAGCATATAATAGAAATATTTAAAATATTTATTTACGTCATTTATGAAGATGATAATAGAAACCAAAAATGTGATTCATTTAAAAATATATTAAAACTATAACGTACTTGCGTTGACGTAGAACATTATGAAAGATCTAAACTACCGCTTTTAAAATGTAGTTATATGAATTTTTCATTAGCTCTTAATATTCTAATATTAATTTATACAATCATTTCGTGTTAATTATTCTTTTCGAACTTTCGTCAACTAATCAATCATTTAAAAGTTTCTAAGTTGTTTTTTATGTTTTTGTTTGACAAAGAGAAAAACGTGGAGAATAAACATACCTCTCAATATAATTTGTGTATAATGAAATAAACAAAAGTAATTAGTAAGAAATTATAAAACCTTTTTTTATATAAAAAATACTAATAAACAGCCATCTAATATTCAATATTACTCGGCAGAATGTATATTCATTGCTAAGGCCGCCTATTTTTTTTTTATCAGAACCTTTTTTTGTAGCACATATCATCATATACAATACTTGCAGTTGGCAAACTGAATGGTTACTATGTTTTATATTATAACATGGAGAGACTCTTTGTTTCCCACCGGTAACCTTGAATTTATTTCTTAATATATCTTAGCTATTCGCTAGTGTAGTAGCTCGGTGGCGTAGTGGATAAGCGCCGCGGCCCGCGATCGTAGTCGTTAAGCAACTTTCGCAAGGGTCGGTCACGGGATGGGTGACTAAAAAACTATTATCTCGAGCTACTCCGTGCTTCGGAAGGCACGTTAAGCCGTTGGTCCCGGCTGCATTTGCAGTCGTTAATACCCTCCAATCCGCATTGGGCCAGCGTGGAGCGTCATGGCCCATCCTCCTGAAAAAGGCCTGAGCCCCTGTAGTGGGGACGTAAAAGGGCTGATAATTTGCTAGTGTTGGGAACTGACATAGTATCTTTTATTGCAATTTTCTTTTATATTGCAATATACTGACCGGTTTCTCTATAAACATTTTTATAAATATTTTATTACGAGGTTTCAGTAATAGCTTAATGATCATATAGAGGAAAGTAACCAGATATGGAATATCATCCTTAATGTAGAATAGTAAAATTCCTACCTAAATTATTTGTCATACAAAATAAACTTTAAAATGTGCCTAGCGAATTCGTAAGCAGGTTAATTTTAAAATCTATCGCATTCACGAACTTCACACTACATTTATTTGACATGTGGTCTAATGTAATCAAATATTACATTAAGTTAAATTTTTTATTATGTTGCTTAATCATTTTAAGTTATTACGAAAGCAATTGGGATTTTAAACGTTACACAATAGGGATGACGACTAATTATCGTTTGTTTGTCCGTCAGGTAGAGTATTAAAGAATATTAAATACGTATTTTTTTTAATTTTTTGCTCAATGAATAACTTACGGCGATATATTAAGATGAAATGTCGCATGACGTCATAATTCTACAATTTCTACAAAATTGTGACGAATTTCGATAGATATTAAAATAAGACTGTTAGGCCACAGATTCACTATAACTGAAAACGAAAAAATCTTTTCGTTTTGAATCGAACAATTTTTTTTCTCTGCCACTCGATCAGAGTGTCTTTTGGCTGATAAGAAGAACAAACGAAGGAAACTTACCAGCTCATTATCAGAAGTAAAGATATTTTATATCAATCATGTCATTACCAAAATAATAAGTAATACAATAATAATTAATAAAAACAATTATCAATGTCTGTAGGTCATGCAGTTCATATAATCAGTATAGATCATAGCAAAGGTTAGTAATTCCATATATTACTGTCCTTAAAATAATCATTAACTTTATAGAAACCTTTACTCATAAGTATGTTCTTTACATAATTTAAAACATTGTTTACAAATAGATTAGATTTTATGGAACTTTATTGAACGTCGCAATGCATATACCCAAAAATGAACGGCTTAATTCTATAAAGTCTGAAACTTGAAACTACATGCTCATTTTTGATTTTTGTGTTAAAATAATGAATAATTCTTTTTTTTTGTCAACGAATCATACCTCATGCTTTTTTTTAAATAGAATCTAGTATTGAAATAGTTTTCAACAACAGGCAACAGTAAAAATATTGATTTTCTTTAAATATTTCTCTAAGAGATTCTCTAGACCGTAAATTATATTTCGCGCGCTCAGCTCTCTTTTGTAGTATAAAAATATCTTGAATATTAGCAGCAGATTTAATATATTTTCTAATTCTTCCCAATTAGGAACGATTTATGAAGGAATTTCAGTATTTCATATTAGAGGTACTATTCTATATTTGGTAACTTTCCTCTAATAATACTATTACCTACCGTTAACATATAAATATGGCATTAAACGAATGTACAAACCAACGTTTAGTTATGAGCATTTTATTTTTTCAAAACTCTTAAGAATGTTAGTATAAGATAGCAGTTATACTCAGGTGTACACATGAAATTCACCAGATGGAAACATGTAGAATAAACGAAATAAAACTTTTTAAGTTAAAGTCTGTTAAGTTAAAGCCATACGACTCCCTTGAATTGTTTTAAATTAAGAGCCAGATTTATACAATAATCATAACTCCTGTGCTAGGCAAGAGTTTGTACTAATGAAAACTATTATATAAATGAAATCTTAAGATTGTTTTCTAGAATAATATTTGAAACACTTTCAAATATAATTCTAGAAAACAATCGCGTAACATAGGTGTTTATGAAGTTAGTTTTGTAATCACCAACAATATTAGTTTAGATTTAATTCAAGGACGTTCCAGAATTTTCCATGATGCTAATGGATGTAATGTACCTACTTTATTTTAGTCAGAGTGTAAATATATGGGTTGTTTGTTTGTTCTATTCAAAAGCTTCAATGAGTTATCAAACTTTTTGGTATATTTGAATAATAATTATTAGGTATTGTTATTTTTAAAATAGAATGTTGTGGTCGTTATTTTAAATGCACCAATAGAGGGTGTAACTCTAATTTGAATTCATTAATTTTTTGTTAATGTATTCTTCATCATAGGTTAGCAATACACCATTGTAGGTTATTATATAAAATTCCGTGTCAAAATGCGTTTATGATAAATTCTGAAACTATTTTTTTACTATTGCGTGTATTTTGGTTCAATTGAAGGGACTGGGTTGTTTTTATTTCGATTGACAAACCTCAATATTTTTCATTTGATATTGAAGAAATAACACTACACTTAGACTGTTTGAAAATCAAAATCGCGCGTGACAAGAGCGCCATCTACAAGGTGTGAATTTAATTATATAATTAATAGCCACATCTACAAACACAAAGGGACATGAAAAGTGGTAAAGTGAATTCAAATTCGGCACACAATCCATGATCCATGTCATAGGTTTTTAGATCGCCGATAGTTTGGTGTAAATGCGTCTATTGGGCTCAATAGCGGCCGCATCGGGGCGTCGTTATCAGAGGGCAGTGTGAGTTGTTTTGACGTTAACGTTCACCTTCTATCGTGAGTGCGTTTAAATTTTAGCATGGAAACTGACATAGAGCCCCTAGCTATTAAGAACTACTACTCATCTCCATATAATTTACAGGCGTGCTCACTACTGAACGCGTAAACGTAATACTTAAACGCACCACTCAGTTGATTGGTAGAGCTCGCATGTGGGATGTAGAAGATCTGTGTAATAATTTTAAAAGAAGAACATTGTTATTGCATGCGTGGACTATTGCGTCACTATCTCGCTTTTGGAGATTTCCCGCATGTTAATACCCTTCAAACAAATAAAAGTAGTTCCAAAATCAAATTTACAGTTGAATAAATTAATAATATCTGTGTATACTGTAAAAACAAGAAAACTACTACTAAAAAAATATATGAAAAGTTTTAAGGAAATTGTTCGTTGATTTTTACAGTTTCTTTAATTTCTTTCCCGCAGTTTTTCGAGAACAATTCGACAATCAGCATTTTAACTTTCATTCCTGTGGCTGAAGATCATGAACGTTTGCTGGTGTGTCGGGCGAAGAATCCTCGTATGCCCGATACTGTATTAGAAGACAAATGGAAATTAAATATACATTGTGAGTGTCACAATCTTTAACTGGTTTGTTTAAAAAAACTATATTGGGTGCTATAATTTTGTATATTAGATTTATATCATTAACATCTGTTAGAATTTAATAAGGTTTATAATTGTCAAAATCTTTTTGTCTATTGCTAATTCTCATTAATAGAAGATGTTTATTTTAATAGTAGTAAACATGCTATTAGTGTATTTATAGTAAAAAAAGTGATTATTTAAATGTTGGTAAATTTTAGAACTTAAACTTTTTGATTGACACAAATCATTAGCCTCCATAGTAGGGATACCGTAAGTAGTATCGTAAAGTTTTTTCTTTTTTAATTTTAATATGAGCGAGTTGAAGTGTCTTCACCATCATTCATCGCAAAATATAGGAGGGGAAGGAGTAGACCATCAGTCACATAGATAATTATTGTCCAAGGGATATGAAAATTCCCTGGAGACTATAACCGCAACAAATGTTGTGACATGGTTAAGAAAGCGAGTCGAAAAATGTGAAAAAAATATTTACAAAAGCAATTAAAACATTTTGTGCACATATTACAAATTAATCATGTATGAGTAAAAACTTAAAATTCTTCCAAATTATTTATAATATATATATATAAAGTTAAAATCTTCCTAAGTCAAGATAAAAACAAAAAAAAACTATCCTCTTGGCACAAAACAAGAATTATAAAATTCTTTTTAGTGAAAACGAACTCTTAATTGCTTTTACAAAAAAAAAAAAACAATAAGTTTCCGAAATGTCTGCCCGGAAACACTTTATAAACGGAACGTAAACAATTTGTCTTGACAATTTACTGTAATACGTTTGTTCATTGTTGTTGTTACGCGTCAAGGAGTCATCAAGGGGACTGCTATCTGACAGGAAGTCGAAAGTCTTCCTCATCCATACTCCTTAACAAATCCCCTGGATTTTGCGATCACAAGATCTTTATTACATTGGTTTTTCTTTGTTTCGACTTGCAATATTCTACCCGGAAAGCTTTTCAATATATTATACATAATATAACGTTTTCCTGCTAATGAGTTTTTTAATATAAATTCTATCCTAATAATTTGGCAAAACGTAAATGTGCAATAACTATAAAGTGCAGTTAATCCAGAAGGATAACCCACAGATAATATTCGATTTCAACCGCCATTAAATTTATAACTGTTGGGTAAAACTAACCTCATTTATACAATTTGAATATAGTTAAGCTTACCATGTGTAAAATGAATGCATAATATAACAATTATTCAGGGAAATTATGATTGTAAATAGCAATCAAACATTATTGTGTGATAATTACCTCAAAATAGCTAATTATATTAAAGCTGTTATACTACAGTAAACAAATAAATAATAGCAGTAAATATTACTACTGTTTTATACACAGAAAGAAGTTTTCAGTGTTCTGCGGTTTGATATGAAGAACGGCAACTTTCACACAAATATAACGGCAGTATAACAGGTTTACAAACGGACGTACTCGTATGTTGGTTTGCTTATTGTTTTTTACACTGGAACTAGTGATAGTTACTGTGCCCGACATTTTAAACTCAACCATTATGCACTTATACCTAATCTATTATAATACAATTGCTGAAAGAATTGAGAGCAATTTCTAATTCCCATTAAATAAAGGAATGGACTATAATATTGCTTATAAACAAGCAGTTATGTTTGGCGCTCGTTCAGCTTTCCGCATATATTCTGCTCCCGAACGAGTAAGCATAAAAAGAGGATAAGTATGCTTTTACTATGCACATTGCGCATGCTAACGACAGTAGTCCGTTCAGTGTTTTGTTCGAAACGTTATTTTATTTGTCTGGGTTAAATCTAGTGATCAAATTAAAAAAGATAAATGGGGTAAACCCCATTTATCTCGATCAGTTGAGTTTTGAACGCTGCTCTAGATATGATAAGAATACAATAATGAATTATTGGTATACTTCCCTAAGCTAATGGCAATGTTTGCAATGATCCTCACACGTTCTATCGGTATCGGAGCTGACCCAAATGAGGCCTCTTTTAAAACGGGATTAGATGATTCGATTTTATTTGTTGAAGTATTATTTGAATCTATAATAGGTTTCAAAAACAAAGCAGACAAAAGTATTTATTGCTCAACTTTTTTTTGCAATGTCATGTATGTATTATACTATAGAGTAGTCCCCAATATAGATATTTGTCAGTGATATTGGGGAAGATACGATCAAAGAATTTAATGGAAATAATACGTATTCAAACACATTCCTACTTACAATTTAAGGAGAAAATACTCCGCAACATACAGGATCATCGAGCGATGTTTGTTTTGTTTATTTGACAGCTATTCATTCATTCTAAGACCACAATCTTACTGATACACACTGTATTATGTGATTATAAACAGTTATATTTATTTGTATTTAGCTCTTTGATTTAAAAGCACAGAAAAAAAAAGTCGAATTTATAATCGGCTAATATAAAAGCAGGTAAGGTTGGGTCAAAGGTGGTAAGTATTGAAGAAAATATCACAAACTACATCTGTGCTGTCGCTCTTGAAGGTACACGCGGTGTTACCTCTTATACCAAATAAAGAGTTATTAATAAGACCAATACATTGTCATAACCATTGAAAATATCACGCCAATGTCATTTTATATGGTGGTTAAACAGATTCACCTAGGATGTATGATATATATTTAGCCTTTATAATGTCTGTCCCTAAGGAGTAAAATTCCACAAACAATGCAGACACCCTCACCTGGAGAACAAAAGTGTGCATGTTTAAATTAAGTTCACTAGTTTTTATTTTTAAGTTTGATGATATATTTTTGTCGGCAGATATACCAATTGTAACCCTAAAATTGGGTACCAGTCTTAATCCTGACTACATAAAAGAAGGAGACGTTGTGTATTTTATGTGTAGCGTTAAAGCTAACCCAAAGACTACTCGGCTTACGTGGTATAAAGGGGTAAGTAAAGACTAATAACTTATCTTCTTATCTATGACTTATTTGTTTCCGTATCTAAACCAGCTGCTTTCATATTACTGTTGTCAAAGTAAAGCGAGGCGTGAATTGTCGGCAGAAGTCGTGTTACATTCGAGGGTTACACACACGTGAGTTAAACCTGCCACAAAATGAATTTAAAAGCTGCTGGTGCAATCGTTTTGTTTGTTGTAGCAATGTTATAGGTATTTGTACTCACAAAATAAAACAATAGAAAATACTGGAATAGAATACGGTGCATAACTGAAGTAATACATCGTATACTAGTAACTACATGATGATATCACTGTTCGAAATATCTTGTTTTCATACACGTTTTTGTTGCCATAAAGTAGGATACAGCATGAAGAAGTTTATAATATATTGAAATTTGGTTTTGTGGGCGTACTTCATTCCCATTAGAATGATATTTTGAATACAGATACATACAGCACTTATTTTTAATTGTTTTACATGAGACAACGTTCTGCTATTGTTTGAAACTTTCATGCGATTCTATAAAACCACTGCGTTTCTTAAATGTCTTCTCACTATAAGATATTACAAATGTTGTACTCTATTTTTAATACGCAAACAGAAACCTCCCTTTTATTTCAAAATATAAAGTAAATAAGCCCGGATACACAACATCTTGTGTTAAACCAGTGTGAAAATAACTTTATAAAGACATCAACTTTGTGTTTTTGTAAAAGGCAGTTCAATCGATCGATCGGGATTGGACTTCAAATACCAATCCATTCCATTTATTTGAGATAAATATATCAATTACATCAGTTATGAACTGAAAATGAACACAATTTATGATTACAAAATCTTTTTTTTTTCTTTTTGTAGACTGAAGAGATCCATCACAATGCAGATGCTGGGATTATACTAAGTGAACAAACCTTAGTATTGCAAAGTGTGAACAAATCAGATGCAGGCGACTACAGCTGTATTGCTCACAATAGTGAAGGCAGTGCCACCAGCAATCTCGTTTCACTAGAGATAAGCTGTAAGATAGTCACTTACCGATGCCGATAATATTTAAACATATGATTAAAATTTATAATCGATCTACATTTTCTGCGCTTAAAAATTAGGCTTTCTGGGCCGGAACATCCATATTTGTTGCATCGTGTTCAGTAAAATAAAAACGCAATTTTTTTAAATAATTCATATGCAGCTGTACCAGATTGCACTGCTAACGGATTGTCACGAGAAGTTTGGTGATAATTATCGTTGGCATAGAAGCAAGCTGCGGGGAAATGTCATGGTTTCTTTCCGTCTGATTATCAAGTCAGAATTTATATTTTCACATTCTACTATATATTTTACTAAACTATGTACTTCAAAAATACTCATAATATCAGTTCACATTATGATCATTAATTCTCACATATTTAAAATCTCTAATTTATGAAAGACTTTTAACCTTATAGTTTAAGCTCTAAGATTATGTTTTAATAACATAACTCTCTTTTATTGTATACTAGATGCTCCAATGTGTGAAGTCAATGAGACTGGGGTATATGGAGCGTTGGAGTATGAAACAATCCAACTGCAATGCTCCGTGAATTCAAGTCCGCCCCCTTCGAGTTTCATGTGGATAATGGACAGTTTAGGGGAGCAAACACAAATACCGTCCAAGTAAGTTTTTAAATTTCTATTATAATAAATGTATATATTTAGTGTTTCTATATTTAATGTATGTTTAAATATATTCTTCTTCGTGCCTGACTTCCTTGTGATCCTCATCCAACCTCACTCTAAATATCCCACGTCATACTTCCAATTTCTTCTCCAAATCCTTTTCTGTGCATGCTGTACGTTTATGAAATTCTCTCCTGGACGATGTCAGGAACTCTCTCTCACTGAGTTCTTTTGGCGATCAAGTTGAAAGCTATTTCCTTTCTTAATGCTAATGGTATCTACTTACAGTTTTTCTTATGTACTTTGCAATATAAAACTGTGTACTTTCGTGTTGTTTTCTATCTGTATCGTGTGCATTAAAGATTAAAGGGTGGCAGATGCATCAATCTGCACAATGATGCATGTTTATACCGGCACATTGCAAAAATATTGAATAACAATAATTGAACGATGTTTGTCTATGGATTTACTTGAATTTTCCCGACCTTATAATCTCACAAAAGGTAAAAGCATTATACGGATAACATGACTTTGTTTTCGGAATATATAACCTTATACTTTACGAAGTGATCTAACTTCGCAATCCAATAAGCGTGTGTATTCGTAAGTTCGTACCTTATAAAGTACTTATAATCAAATTACCTGATTGCCTTCTGGATTTTTTATTATTTTTTTTATAAAAAAGTGATATTATTTATTTTTATTACAACATAAATATTAAAATAAAGATGACTTCTTTGCACAAGTACAATTTGGTATTACTTATTATCTTATTTATAGAATACACGTATGAAATAAAAACGCTGTTTACTAAACCAATAGATATAGTTATGTTAGAGTTTCCAGTTAAATTGTCCGTTGACATAGGTCCATTGTAAGGAATACTTTTCTTGACATGTTTCCGATTACCATGACGTAAAAGGTATTTGTTCCTATTATAAGATTTGTCAATCGTGATATTATAAAATTTTATTATTCACTAGCTAAATCATCACTCTTTGCTGTGTCTGTTTCTAAACCGTTTCCGAATAAAAAGAGTTTTTATTTATGGGGTATATAAGTAAATTTCACCAAAAGGAAGATGCCACATCAGTTTTACGGACATACAATTGAAAATTGATTTGCAATAAATTTATCTATACTACATCTGATATTTCTCATTCGAATAGTAGAAATATTTTTGTTTTTCAAGTAAGCGTTCTTAAGAGTATTATCCTCTCAAATAAAAGGGTAAAAGCACTTTGCTCTTTGTTAAAATATTATTTATGTAAACTTTTAGTCTTTAATCAGGGGGATCTCCACCCCTTATTAATATATTATCAGAACTTAACTGTAGTAATAATGAATAATAAACATAAGAGCTTTGTAAAATAAAGCAATAGCTACATACACGGATTTATAGCCTGATAATAGGCTGAAATACGCTTACTCTTAGTAAAACACTAGATAAGTTTTAATATAGATCTCTTAATTAAACCTTGAAGTAAATTTTCTCTAATGCTGTTTACGCTTCATTGGTTAAATCAGATTTGACTTAAGTGTCTTTAAAATAAGAATCGTTTTTGGCTGAAATGGCAGTTACTTCATTTACACTTTACATCGATTGGAGGCTTGAACAATGTCCACAAGTAGCAATAAAGATTCAGTTGAGCCGTAAAAAGTAAAATCGTTGATTTGTTTCAAGACGATCTTCCACTCAGGTGATAGGAAATATGGAACTTTAACTATCAAGAAGCATCAAGGATTTAAATAAAAAAATATTTCAACAAGATAGAATGTACAACATGTCTATATATTAATAAAAAAAATATTTATGTTTAATGACAAATGCTTAAAAAATCCACCAGCTCCAAATACCCCGAGATAGGATTCGAACTCAGAATCTGACCAACCGAGCTGACAAATTTTTTAAGCACTTGTTGCTTTCCGCTACTGGTGAGCGTATTTACATGAATGTTTAGGTAATCTTAATAACAGCAACACGCAAAACGCAAGCAAAGAGAGTCGATTGTACTGTAATATAATAGTAGGTACTTTCTTTGTAGATGGTAGCGAGCCATGCTTTACGATTTTTATATCACAAGTCTATTTTATTTTCCACCAATCGAAATTTAAACAAATTCAAAACTCAATACCATTTTTGACAATCTAAGCTACAGTACTACTTATTAAAGTCGAAAAACTACGATATCTATCCGTAAATTTTATCAATCAAAACAATGAATGTTCTTAATGTCGTTACATTGAATTGTTTTTTATTTCTTTTAGCTTGTTCACAACATCAGGATTATCTTCCACACTTCGTTTCACACCCACTTCTGAAACAGACTTTGGAACAGTACTCTGTATTGCAAACAACTCCGTGGGGACCCAGGTGATTCCATGCCGTTACGAGCTAGTGGCAGCTGGTAAGATTTATGTCTTAGGTATCTGAACGACCGTTCTAACCAAGACCTTAGCGAGACTAGAATTCTTCAAGCACTATTTTTATAGGGAAATCTTGTGACATAAAATATGCAGTCTGAGTAGTTTATATTTTTTTACACTATGAGCAAATTTTTTAACTATTACAAAGCACATCGTTTGAAATCTTATTTTCACTAAACTTAGGAGTCGCCTAAATCTGTAGCCTAAATATTTAGGAATCGTTTAAGGTGTAAATATATTTCACTAATAACTAAGAACTACCTAACGTCGTTAAGCAATGTCTAAGTTTATGATATGCGCGTTATATGACAGATCATAAATGTGTCAAAAGATCATCATCATCATTATCAGCCTTAAGACGCCCACTGCTGAGCATTGGCCCTCACATAATTCTCCATAATGATCGGTCCTGCGCTACTATCCAACGGCTTCCCACAACATTTATAAGATCGTCGGTAGACCTGGTGGGGGACCTACCCACTGAGCGTCATCCGGTAAATGCTCGCCATTCGAGAACTTTTCCACTTTTGACATGATTTTCGTCTTAGTCGTGTTCATTTTAAGACCCTCTCTTTGAGATGTACTACTGATATCTTCAAATCTTCAAGCATGGTGGTCAGGTCTTCTAAGATATCAGGCAGTAGAACTACATCATTGGCAAAGCATTGGTGTGTAAGATACTCGCCATTATTATTGATTCCGTATCCTTTCCGATAAAGAAGCTAGAAAATATCCTCTAACGCAGTGATTAATAGCTTCGAAGAGATAACGTCTGACCTGCCTTACCCCTCGCTGTAATTGGATAGGATCAGAGTTTTGTAATCGGGCCGATATATGTAGTAGCATTCTTATACCAGATACTTTAGTATCTCGTTGTACCTGTAGTTCACTTGGCACCTTGGCATATCTCAATCAAATCAAAGTACCCATCACTATGCTTTTAAGATCGTCCATATCCAACTGTTGTCAAGGACTCCAAAGCGGTTCTGAAGCTTCATTTGAAATATCTCGGGGTTGTGAATCTGTGCAGGTATTGGTCGGAGCGTAGATTTCATAAATCGAGATCTTTGCAACTTGATATTGATATTCAATGTGCTTCATACCAGCCGATGATCGCTTTCCGTTTTAACGAGGTCACACAAACATAATTTAATATTTGCTTTTTTGATGCCCTGATGGAATCGATTTCGTTTTTGACTTTACAGTCCGGATTCAACCAGGTCCACTTACAATTTAGTGGCTTCCTGAAAAAAGATTCATCTTGTAGAGAGACAGAACATAAACCTGTATAACATTCAAAAAATATCAATTCCATATTCCTAGTATCGGGTATGCTACCCTGGTCGTCTTACTTCCAATGGGTTGCTGAGAAGAGACTTGTGGACGATGAACCCCAGACAATGTTCCAGCGTAACTTACTGATAGCTTCTTCCGCCAACGTAAACTTAGCATCAGTCCCCAGTGTTATTAAAATATTAACTTTATTTATCATTTAACTGAATTAAATAGTATTTCTTCTAATTTTCGTGCCACGACCACTTTGTCCAATATATATTATATGTTATTTTAATACAATTTCTCCAATTTTCACCTGTCGTGGTCAGGATTTACGGGTTCATCGTCACGAATATAAGTTATATGTAACTACAGCTACGCCGGAATTTTATCACTGGTGGACTTCGGTGGTAAATAGGTGGTATATGTCTATCGCCAGAATAATGTCATATCAAATAATTTCTGGTACAGTAAATTCCGTTTTCCACTTCAATATTAGATGTTTATTTGTTTATTAATGAAACTATATATGTAATGTAAGTACCTACGTACATTTTGTACTCTTGAAAAAAGCTCTTTAGGGATTACCTACGTTTTCAAAATCTAAACAGATAAAGTCTCAGGCAAAACGTAATTTCTTAAAAGTGTCTCAAGAGCTATAAATTTTTGAAACAGCGGTAGGCTAGTAAATATTTTTCATGAAATGGAAGATGTAAGGAAATTTAATATATCTTTTCAATAATAAGCTTTCCTTCTGAGTGATCCTGTATTATAGATTGATATAAACGTCTTAAAATATATCATCATTAGACGCCATTTTCTCAAAATGTTATCTGTGTGTGCTGAACCACTATAGCTTATTAGCGTCCAATAGTCAATAGAATTGTGTTGGCAACTAAAGCTGTTATGTTACATCATTAATAACATAAATTTGGAAATAATTAATTTGAAACAGTGTCGCAAATATGGAAAAAGAAATTGTAATCTTTATATGTCCAGGTCACCCGATGCCATTACAGAATTGCACAATACTGAATCACAGCGACATCGGTCTACATGTGACATGCGATGAGGGTTTTGATGGCGCTTTGCCCCAAACATTTTACTTGGAGGTGTACGAGCTGCCGTCATTGATCGTAAGTTATGTCTGCTAAAATATTCCGGATTGAAGTAATGTTGTAAAGTCATTATTAGATAAAGGGTCCTAACCCCTGTCACCTCTACATTTATGTGAGGATGATGATAACAGAATAAAATATGAGCATAAATTTCATGAAGATTTTGAATGTGATAATCGTTAATGCAATAACGCAAGACGAACAGGATATTTCGAGAAATATTATAGAAAATATAGCGAGGTATACGCACACGTCAATGTTATAATGCCATCTTTAATAGTGAAGCTTTATAAAGTTATGTTTAATAACAAATTCACGTTTCTATTGCTGTCTGTTATATACTCAGATATGTTTCTGACTAGTCTGTTTTTTTTAAAACAAAGATATCAGATTTTCATGAATACTTGTCATGAAGGACAACGGCAGAGGTTGCAAGTTGTCGGAAATACTTATAGTCGAGGGACAACACTATAGAAACCTTTAAAAACTAATAGCGATGAGATTACACCCTTTTGTGGGTGAGTAAACGTTCTTTGGCCTTTTACTGGACTATTCTTAAGGACCAACAGGCACTTCAGAAAGGTTATATACGCTGTTATATTACTACAGTTTACCGGTTGACTAGAGTTTGAGAAATAAGAAAATGCTCCTATCTTTATGCGTCGTACATTAAATTTTGTTACACAATTTACAAAGTATCTTAGTTTGTTAGATATATGAAATCATCTCACGTAAAAAAAGTGTAAGTAAACTATCAAATAGATGAATGACTGTTTTGTTAGTTTTACATATTTATTTTTATCATCATCATCATCACCAGCCCTTTTACGTCCCCACTGCAGGGGCTCAGGCCTTCCTTATGGATGGTTAAGGAGGATGGGCCATGACCCTCCACGTTGGCCCAATGCGGATTGGAGGGTATTAACGACTGCAAATGCAGCCGGGACCAACGGCTTAACGTGCCTTCCGAAGCACGGAGTGGCTCGAGATAATAATTTTTTTGGTCACCCATCCCATGACCGACCCTTTCGAAAGTTGCTTAACGATTACGATCGTGGGCCGCGGCGCTTATCCACTACGCCACCGAGCTACTCCATATTTATTTTAGGTGGTATTAAAATTTATTTATTTATATTTATAATGTAGTTATTTGGTAATGACACGGTTTTATCTTCTCATCAACTAAAAGAAGTCCTGAACAAAATGATGGACAATTCAAAAAAAAACATTTAAGAAGTCTATTTCAATAAAGATGATTTTGGCTTTGAAGTTTTTCCTTTATTTTTCATACAAGAATGTCACAAAGAGTTTTTCAGTATTTAGTACTATTTCCTTTATTAACATTGTATTATTGAAAAAAACTGTACATACAATGACTTATTTATCTAGAAAACTACAACTAGTACCATAAACCGAATTTATCGGAAATAAATAATAATTTGCGCTACTCTCACGGAAACTGCACTAGGTCCATAAATGACACAATTTTTTTCTCGGCTTCCATTGCATTTTTAACTTTTCTGTAATAAAATTTTAAAATATATCGAATTTCTTCATTAGATTCATTCATTTTGACAGTAAGAAAATATGAAAATCACACAAATTTTCCTTATTTGAATTCTTAGTTATCTTCTTCTTTAAAATTTAAACTTTTTAATGATACCGAAACCAAACAGATACAAATGCTATAGCCAAAAAGATTTTATGCATACTATTTGCGAAAAGACTTTTTCCCCAACCTAATATACTCGTATTATTTTATATACCGAACAATTAAATTTATAATTTTGTCTAAAATAATCCTCCTATGAATTTGACTTAGTAAATTTTTTCATACTTTAGGTCATGCCAACAGTTATTAGTCTTAAATGTTATTAGCATACAAAAACTGTGATATTTAACCATTTGATTTGTCAAAGGATAGTCAAAAGTAGTTATTTTACTTTAGTAGTAATTTTTATTCCCAGAGTTCTCCAAAAATATAATAAAATCTATAAATGATTTTATCGTACTCTAAGAGCAGAGTACTATTATAGCTGTAAAAATATCTATCACTGATTTGTTACCGCCAGTAATATATATGACTAATACAACTTATGAAATGATTTAAAAATATCTCACATAATTCTTAATTGATGACAACGAAGAAATCTATTCCCACCATTAGATCCGGGCAAACGTATCGTCGAGTACCTCGCCTGTTTTCGCCGTGTCTGGTCTAGACACCCACCGCAGATACAGTCTCGTCTTATATGCGGCTAACTCCAAAGGGAGAAGTGAACCTGTCTCATTATATACGGTCGCACTGAAATCGCCGGACAAATATACAGGTAAGTTCTTTGGGAACTTTTAATTTCTGATGTCGTGATATTGTTGAAACTCTACATTATTTTATTTCTGGTACGATGCAAATTTGTCAGTTTTGAGGTTTTAATAAATGTTTGTTTCCTTTAATTTATTCTGGAATTAAATCACAAATATGTAAATACCAAACTAGATCTAAAAATGAATTGCCTGAAAATATATGAAATGCATATTAACCTCTCGATGGTGCAGTGGTTAGCGCGCTTAGTCTGCGATACGGTCGAGCAACTTTCGAAATGGCCGGTCATAGACACCCATCGTGACCAAACATTTATTATTTCGAGCTCCTGCGTGATACGGAAGATACGTGACACGTTACGCCATTTGTCACGGCCGTGCCTGTAATTGTAAATATCCACCAATCAGCACTGGGCCCACGTGGTAGTTCTTTTTTTTTTAATCACTTTCCCCACTATTTAGCAGTCCATTTTTTCTGCTTTTATTTGTTTTTTATGCTTGTTTTTCTCTTTTCTTTAAACAGGTATGTTTTACCTGTGTCATGGAGATTATTCTTTTCCCCTCTTTTTACTTTTCTAATTCTTATTTCCGTTTACATTATTTTCTTATATTATTATACATTTGTATCTTATGTCTATTTACATTCATTATATTCAGTAGTGGAGAAATTAATAAGCTGGTGATGGGATACCAGTCCGCGACCACTCATTTTTTATTTCTTCAGTCAATAGAACAATTACAGTAAAAACCACGTTAAATTCGATACAGGTCGCTCTTCCAAAGTTTATCAATATAAAATCTTCGGTCGATTCTTTCCGCTCGGTTGACTTCTTTGGTGCGAATAAATAAGGAACGTCTATAAAAACTCCGTTTCGTTTGCTATGGACAATTTTTTGTGAGTGGAGTACTTTCCTACTGGTATTATGATATCAAAGCTATTGAGTGTTGAGATATACTCGAGGTCTTTCATGACTCGTAATAAATATTATTTCTTCAAAAAGGTTGTAGGTTTGTTATCTTTCGTCAGTGTTATGAGAACATTTTTTTGTACAAATACTACTCACAATTCTACAAATTTGTATTTTATTATTATTACAGTGACAATCATTTTTCTCTCATTAAAGTAATATTTGCTACTGGAACGTATCATCATCATCAGCCTTTTTACGTCTTCACTTAAGGGGTTCAGATCTACCTTATGGATGGTTAAGGAGGATGGGCCAGAATCTTCCACAACGTAACGCTCAACGCCTTAACGTGCTCTCCGAAACACTGAGTAGCTTGAAATAACATTTTTTTGGTCACCCATCCCGTGTCCGATCCTTGCGAAAGTTGTTGAGCAACAACGACCGCGGACCCCGACGCTTATCCACTACCCCACCGAGCTACTCAAACTTATATATTTATCTAACTGGAACGTATATTGCTAATCAAAAAGTAGTAAGACAGTAAACTTAGTGTTCATTTTTGGATCATCGGATATATACTATCAGCTGTCTGTCAATTTGGTTTTTTCTCTCCATAATGAGGAAGAGATTTCCCGTTTGTGATAAACGAAGCGTGTCGGCTCGATTCCGAATTACTAAAGGATAAAGAAATGAAGCGACGACAACGAATTTGGACTTGTGACGTAATCCTACATTCGCTCATTTTGTGAATATAATGAATAATGGAAAAAAGAAATGTAATATTAAGTCATGATATCTATATTTTAAGATAAATGGAAAAATGGTCAGAGATACTGTGTTGCTTTTTGAAAATATTCTTTAAGACACAGATAATATTTTATCGTTATAAGTTCAAAGGTTTGATTTTTTTGCTACTATGATTTCCTGCAGAATTCAAATGTAAACTATTTTATACTCTTAAACCGACTTTAAAATCGAAAAGGAGGAGGTTCGACGGCGGTGCATGTTTATTTTATGTATATTCACACATACTTTCGCAAATTGTTGACCAATTTTCAAAATTCTTTCGTTATTCGACAGCTTGATGGATTGAGGTGGTCCCATGTAAATTTTACCGAAATCGAATAACTGGTTTTTCTTTTATAACAAAAAAAAATACGCTTTTCAACAAATATTACCCAAATATTAAGATGATATTTTATGACATTTCAGCTAAAAAACAAAAGATTGCGTATTTAGAATTTATTAAAAAACTGAAAGGAAGTTTTTCTATGTTCAACCTAGGTATCAATGTGTAAATTGTGTGAACCAATTTCTATCAAACTAGCTATTTCCCCGAGACTTTGCCTAAGTTATAGCCTATGTTCGCCGCGTATTCAGCAGCTTCCCGTAGATGAAATACTTTTATAAATCGGCCCAATAGCTTCGGGGCCTATCAAATGCAAACAAACGAGCAATCAAATATCTCCTCTTTAAAACATGAATATAGATTTTTAGAAAAAAATAAAAGAGTAAATTAATGAAATCTCCTTTTATAAGACTTTCACTATGTTGAGTATTTTTATTTATTATATTACTTTCTATTTAATATTTTTCGTATTACCTATTATATAAAAAAAAAACCTTGAAAAATAACTTTTCAATTATCATTTAATTAATAACCTACAGAAAACCTACGTCCTACTTCTATAGCATTTTCTTGAATAAGTCACTTTTGAGATAAGTATTATTTTTAAAGTATTTGATAAGACTGGAATTCCACAGTCTGTGAAGAAAATATTTTATGCAAAAGATGTAGAACTCGTGGATTACCGCATCTTAGACATTGTTTTGAGATATTTCAGTGTAAACAGTTTATGAGAAGAAAAGTAAAATGATATCAGTAGCGAGAGAGCATAAGACGAAACGGTGGATGAATTAATCGTGTTAATATGAAGGCGAATTTAATGGTATACGAGCAAAAGCTGCCCCTACATTTGGTTGATATTCATTGATATACTAACTGATGCCGTAAACTTCGTCTATCTTTGGATTGATAATAAACCGTTATATGAAGGTGAATTCAATGATGAGCAAAAGCACAGACACTCGTTAGTTGGTTTTCTTTAATAAAAACTAACTGATGCCGCAATCTTCGTCTTATCTTAATATTAAGTCACTTATGGCCGCACGTCTACAATATTAGGACATATAACAAGTTGAACTTTATGTTTTTTCTTATTCTTAAATATTTTAAGTGTTTTTGCTATTCAAGAAAAAGACAATTCAAAAATATATATAATCTTTAAAAATATATATCTGTTTTAACTTACTACACTGCAGCTTGTTGGTTAACGTCTACAGTGCACCAATTTTAAGTGACTAGCTGTCGTCCAGCCCTGCGATTCTGTAAAAATTCAAATCCTTATTCGAATTCACTCAGGTATCCGAATTGACTTCAAAAAGTGGCATCCGCTCAACCTTGAAATGGTAATAATGTTTCGTAGCATAAGAGATGTGAGTTTCGAAATGACATAGGAATAGAATATCTGAGTCGCGTATTTTCAATCAATTTATTTTGTATTTGTATAAAATAATTGGGATCAATAGAATTTCTACACTTAATGACGTGAATTCGAATGCTAGTCTGGATTTTTACAAAATAGCTGGGTTGATCTCCTTTCTGAAACATATTAGTGATTTTTTCTAACAGGAATGAGTAATCAGATATCCCTTTCACCCGTGCTGGTGTCCATATTGGCAGTAGTCGCCCTGTTATGCGCTGGTATATGTGGGGTCATAACAGCTCTGTACCGACGACATACTGCTAGCAGGCTTGATAGACCGCGTGCTGCGTAAGTACCTATTTGTGTAAAAAAAAAATCGAAAAAACTTATTAGTCTTCATTTATTTCCTATATAGAAGGAAAACTTTTTAATTATGTCATAACAAATCCGACATACCTACCTATTTTTATGTATTTAGTAATCATTACAGTTACCTGCAGCAAAAACACATTTATGTTTATGCGATAAAAAATTAAAACTAAATTACAGCTGAATGACATTTTCTATAAAATAAAATTACTTTTGAGGTATTGTCCGTTTACTGACGCATTCCTTAGATAAATATAATCGGTAATCGGGATTCGTAACTTTCAAAGGGCACATGAAAATGTAGAGGCATATATGCTAAGTGATATCAGTTATCCGGATCAAAACCACTAAAAAGTAACAATTGAAAGAAATCCCCTTGATGAAGGTTGAAAGGTAATCCACCAGTATTTAGATCAAAGGGCTAATTAATGTGGTGGGACTCAAATTCGTCCCTCGTTCTGAGAAATATGAAGATTATACTTTCCGATCCAAGACTGTCATTAAAATGAGTTATGGTGACTGTAAGGCGTTTTATTCAAATGAATGTACTCAATTGAATTCAAATGAATTGTAATTAATTTTGATTTCTAAGATGAAAATACAATCAAGTGGAATAATTTGATATTTTTGTACAAAACGTGATTCTATAAAGTCCAAGAAAAGTAATGTTGACTTATTTATTAAATTAATGTCTTAAATTAATTCCGAGATGATGTGGTCGAATTTGGTTAAAATTTCCATTGTGTTTAGACTTACTTACTCGTTTAGGAAGGTAATAAATTGGTTAATGAAATAATTTAACTGATGGACCAAACTTATTCTTGTTGCATATACACCTACTTGCAAATATGTTTGGTTCATTAATGAGTGTAGAAATGCAAAGCAAACATAATCGTCTGTATTAATAAAAATGATATTGTGACAAAAATATATTAATAAATTACATTCCCAAAGCGTAAAAATAAAACGATAAAAACGTTCAAAAATATATTAAAAACTATAAAAATGATTTTTTTAAATGCTATCAAAGCTGTCGTCGATAAAATACGCTGTACTCTTTTGTTTTATTTTGTATTCAAACGTGTCACATTGGACGGAAAAATGTATATATTAATACTGTCGTTGGTCAATTTTTAAAGTTTTTCATTATTTTCAGGGGACTCTATATTGATCATAGTGTAGATTCAATATCAAAGCAAGACCATTTGAATACTTACTGTGGTTCTCCAAGTCTTGATTACTGTAATAGATACGAGTTGAAAATGGACGGAGAATTGGAAGAAATAGATCCTGATATAATACCATGTAATTATGGTAAGAATTTATAGTATATATTTCGCATCTTGTAATAGAGAGAAAGATAATTTATTCCTCTTTTACTTTTATTTCTATAATTATTTTCAATTTACTCAAATTTTTCTTATTGACAAGATAACGATCAATATATAGCCCACATAATTGGTCCCTATGAATTTAAAAAAATTATGTCAGATTATGTGGGTATTAAGAAACATTTTTCTACTTTAAAATAGAAGCTGAAATTTTTGTGAAATCAAATGATAATTCATTATTTTTGAAGTTGAAAATTTATACTTTATTTTTGTTTTAAAACTAAGTTAGTATTGAATAATTCATGGTTTTGAAATTAGAATTACGTAAATCGCATATATGTTTCGTTATAGATATGTACTCAAAATTGTTTCAGATAAAAAATCTATTTCAGAGTTTAATAATTTACCTACACCTGGGACTGATATTGGTTCCAGTAGAATATTCTGCGAACAAGTACTTAGCATTCCTACAAGCGTTGTAAGTAAATTAATTAATTAAACTAAAAGAACAATTTTAAGAGCATGTTGTTATTAATTTAGCAATTAAACAAGTGGCGATATTTTAGTATTTTGTTTCAATATGCTTCTTTTCTGTCATTTGGTTTATTTGTTTGTTAGTCTTTTAAAGGGATTTTATTTTTCAATAATGTAGATATTTAGTTTTTTTAAGATGAGTGTTTCCATTATCATTGCTATTAATTTAAATTTAGTTTATAAGAAAATAAGTTTTGTTTCCCAAAATTGACGAATAAACTCGAGTTTTGTTTACTTGATTTATTAGCTTTTTTGTGTTTCTGAATTTAAACATTAAAATTTTCTTTCGGTTTTGAAGGTAAGTTATGTATAAGAATAATTTTACACACTTGTACATCTTTCTGAAACCATCGTATCTGATTTATCAAATAATTATAAATGCATTTATGAAGATAAATCAAAGAGTTCGTAACATTGTAGATAAAATCTCTCAATAATGAAGTCACAAAAAAACCGTGGGGTTATTTGTAACACGATTAATCATATGTCCATTTTCTGTTCACGTTAATTCGTACGGAAGTCCTATCATCATGTTAGCCACTCGGCAGCGGAAATCGTCAAAATAATGTTTTGTTTTTCTTTCCCCAGTCATTATCGTCTAATATATCTGTGGTGAATAGAGGTGTGTGTGCACGAAGCTCGGACATCGCCGCGGCGCGACATCTAGCTAATTTAAATGTTCGTGAGAGTTGTATTTAAAATAGCATTATTATTAATAATAAAGTGTAATTTATAAGGTATTGTTATTTTAAAATTAAATAAATAGAGAAAATAATTTTGTTTCACAAAGAAATATTTTGAAGGCACATGATCTTATATAATACGATTCTTTGAATTTTAAAATGGTGCATTTACATAAAATATTAACTTCATCTATTCGTTCTCAACCATTTTTAGATATAGATAACGCCAGCCGATCCTATCTCGGCTGCTGGCTGACCGGTTACATTTATTAACTTTCTCGTCTAAGGAAATATATCATGCAAAAGGCTTACGCTATAAAAAAGCAGAGGAGTTTCAGAAATAAATTGCGTAAGGAGTATGTAAAGGTGTAGTTAGTCCGTTTTAAAATTTACAGAGATATTTTTTCTTTATTATTTACAACATCAGTTATTTTGTAGAAATACAAAGTTCACGATTATTTAATTTTTATTTTACGATGGTGAATATCATAATGGAGACTCCGTTTCGACTCGACTCAGTTTTGCAGCTTCGATATTATAATATTCCAAAACAGGATATGAAGCTCGATATGCCTTTGTATTACTTTTAAAATTGAAATGTGCGTCACCAATGGATCGACGACGCTAACGCCTTCATATCTAATGGACAAAACGTTATAAACCCACCTTACTTTATTCTAGGTATATTGCAAGGCAACCAGAATATCTATAAATCAGAACGCCTTAAAATTTCAAACGACAAAAAGAGGGCCAGAGAAACCGGTAGCCTAATTGTCTCATTTTAAAGTCTATCGCAAAGCTTTTCTAAGGTATAGCGATTGTTATAACGATCTACGAAATTATGTTGATTTTTGCAAAATAATGGTGTTTCGAATGTTCCAGAAACTTAATAAAAACTTAGTAACTAAAATTAAAAGTAATATTTACGTCCAACGCTTGTTAGCAACTAATGTCAAATTAAAGTTAACGTTCATTCAATATCTTAAAAAAAAACGCTGCTGTCTCAATCGTTATTATATGTCAAATAGTTGTTTTAGCGTGAAGTTCGTGATTATCTTTTAATGTCAAAGTAAAAGGAATGATGATAGACCATAAATTTAGACAAATAGGCCCTGGCCTTGGGTCATCCGCCCTATCGCAATTTGCTTATTTAGTTCGTTTGTATACAAAAACAAAACTCAAAACGTGCGAATGGAAATCAACATCTACTTAAGAGCATATTATAATAAAAGTATGTTTAGTACATGTTAATGCTAAAAATATTACACAATTATTATTTTTTTTACATAGAATCGAATAATCTGTTTTGGTAAATAGGAGGACTTCCTACTAAGGGATATGTTATATTTGTTTTTCAATTTGCTTATTTAGTTTCTTACTAGTTGATGATTGTTACATTTAAATACGATAAAAATTAGGTTGTATAACTTGATATAAACCTAATGGCAGTTGAAAATTATGCATTTGAGTCGAGTCTGTGTCACCTGTGAAGTGCTTTACGTTTGTTAGTTTGTGTGAATTAAAAAATAGTTTGTTAATTGGTCGAAAGAATACCTAAATAAGTTAATAAAAACAAAATATTTGTACAAAAATTATAAAGGTTTAAAAATATATATGGTTAATTTATTTGTGTCAGGATGGACTTGTTGCAAAGTGAGCCGGCAAAACATTGTATATATTCGGCCAAAAAATATGTTCTACCACGATATACTCTATATATGCTTCATTTGAATGTCATAAAACAAAAATGTTGAATTCCTTTTGCAGTAAATGACTCTCATTTGAAATATCAAATGATCTTAGATAAGAAAGGATACGTCTTATAATCATCATTATCAGCCCTTTTACGTCTCCACTGCAGGGGCTCAGGCCTTCCTTATGGATGGTTAAGGAGGATGGGCCATGACCCTCCACGCTGGCCCAATGCGGATTGGAGGGTAAACGTCTCATAATAGAGCATAGAAAAGCAATCAACCTTTTTTGTAGCTATAATTAGATCAGTAAGAACCTTATCAAAACTGGTAGACCATTTTATTGGCCGACTGTACGTACATGGATTTTAATAGATAAAACGTTTTCAATTAAATTTCTTTAATATAAATTATATTTATACTGTATGTTTTCACGGACCATCTACTTTTGTCTTAGAAAATTGCTTTAACCAAAGGTAAAGGAATTGTATTTTATAATTTATTAAATGAAAGAATTCGTAAGTAGTACCTACTTAAATAATAATTTGTACATTTGTTTTAGAATAAGAAGATGTACATCCGCCCAATTGTGAATCTAAGTCTATATTGAAAGAATCCTTAAATATCACCATGAGGATTTATCATTTTCAAAATGATTGCTATAGTGATAGGGCTGCCATAAGTTTTAGAAAGCTCGTCCGAAAATAATATAATTTTAATTTTAATAAAATAATTTTAATGAGTCTTTCGTCCTAAGTGATTCGGCAATTATGGTAGCCCTACACACATAGATAGTACGTAGTATATAAGTAATTAATATGTAAGTGAAAAGTAATTGAATATGAAACCAATTGTTATTTTATGGTAGATGCAATTTTTGTGTTGAAATTAGACTAATAAAACTTATTTCAGCATATTCAAAAAATAAACACTAATTAATCTGTATATAAAAAACAAACTTAAATTTATTTTTTACTTGGAGTTAACAAATTGACAGTGAATATAATGAGTTATTATATTATTTGTAGTTTGCTAGAAAAAATTCAATAAGTAACAATTTTTAAAAATATATCATACCTACCTCTTCCTAAAACAAAACTAATAATAAGACTATCTTCTATTAAATTTATTAGTAATAAACAATATCTACCTTGTTCCAAATAAAAAAAAAAAGAAAGACTCACGCACGAGTTGCTATGTAATTACAAATCCAAGTAATCAGACAGATGGACATTACACTTCGTGGCTTCTATTTATTTAACAATAAGATCTTAAATCAAGTAAATTGATCAAGTATATAATTTCATGGTAAACCTCTAGCACGTGTGGTAAGATTGCAGTTTATATAGTACAAATTTTATTCGTGTTGTTATGATGCAATGTAATGATGCATTATAGTTAGTATGTGTAACATTCTCTCATTCGTATTGAGAAACCTTTTCTCTGTAGTAGATATAATAAACAGTTAACTGATCAACTAATCAAGAACAAGTCCTCTGATTTCCAGCACACCTTTCTGCAGTCTATGACACCACGCGGAGGGTAATTTTACATGGATCTACTCGAAGATAAAACTATATTGTTTAAAACTTTGAAAGTTTTGGAGTATGAAAGTTTTAAACTTATGACATTATTTTTATAGCGCAATTATCCATATATTACGGTACGGTACGAGGAATATTTAAATGCCCTTTAGATTTACTTTAAAAAGGGTCTTACATTTAAGTTTTATTTTCAATCCATAGAGATAGAGTGGCTTAGAGCAATGCGGAACGAAGTGAAGCGGGATCATAATGCATGTGTCGGTTTTATAGTTCCTACAAATATAATACAAGATAGTAAGAAGGGCATCAGAATAATCAGTCTACATTACGTTGTTTTAAACTTTTACTGTCATTAACATTGGCATGATTGTGGAATACGGGTAATTGGTAACACTCTAAATTGGTAAACTTTAGTGAATCGCGGTGCTTACCACGCGTGCTAGCAATCTAGCGTAAGCTTGACATATTAAGTACCTACATAACAATACCTATAATATTTGTGTACATATTTTTTATCAACGTGATACATGATATTTAATTGAATTCCTATTATTTATGATACAGTATTAAAGTCTAATAATTGTGATTTTACTATAACTTTCAGAAAAAATAATAAATTAGGCTTGCAACTGCTTTATGTACTCATAACTAGAACTATATAGCGATATTTATAAGAAAATTTTTATCTTTTTTTTATTAATTAATGTATACAGTAATTGCTAAACTATAATATTGGGATTAAATTTTTTTTTTTTTAATTGAGTTAAATTATACTCTTTTTGTAACTATAAATAAAACAAATAAAGAGATTTGGTACCTAATGCTACTTTATTTGATAAAAAAGTTATCATTTATGAAAAAAATGTATTTATTGATAAAAAAACAATAAAATATATCGTTATATAGTTATAGTAATCGGTAAAATGATAGGCGGTCTCAGCCGTGAGGTTTTATTATGTATCTCAATTTAAAGTAATTTATCATAAGATGACAACACAACATTCAAATTAATTAAATACAACCTTTTTCATCGACACAAATTACAAACAATATATGTTAAGCTCCAATTTGTTTTGGGAGATATATTTTAGCTCAGATTAAAAACACATATTGATTTTTTTTATGATATCATAACAAGAAATTTTATATTAATGAAACAGATTCTGATATGATGAATTGTAGTGAAATTTAAATGTTGTGAAAATGAATGTTGTACCTACCAACACTAACTTATTTGAATTATCTTAAAATGTAATTTTATGGAATTCGTGTAAAAGATTTATGTAATAACTAAGCAAGCATAGTATGTCGCAGTTATACTATTATATGATTATATACTATTATTATAATTGTCAATTAAAATTGTTATCTGTTTTGGTCGTTTAGAAATAAGTAAGTGTTTTAACATAGTTTCCATTATATATTCTAGTATATTAGAAATAGTTCATTTTACTGTTGAAATTCAGGTTACGAGGCAAATTTGAAAATATTATGAAGTTTTTAATATAACGCAATAAGTTGGTAATCCATTTCTAACTTAGTATTGCAGTAGTCAAGGCAGCGTGTATTAAATAATTATAATAATTTAAAATATTACAATCCATGCAATACTCATTCTAAATTTACTCAAAGATATTCAAACATGTAGTAGTAAGAATCTAGAAAAATGTGACAATGCCTGAAGAATTTTCTTCTTCAGCTTCCACAAATGTTCGTGTTAGATTTTAATATTTTTGCAGTGAATTGAAGGGTACATGAATATTAAAAAGTTTCTGTACTAT